CCCCCCCCCCCCCATTTTATGGCGGGGGCATACAAATAGGGTTTAAGTGATTGTAATGGTTGTTTGAGGCATGTTATGTATGTTCATCTTGTGCATAAAGAATAGAGCTTTCGATCCATGTGTGACACGTGTGTGAAAGTGACCATTTGTTTCTAAAATATCAGTTTGAAGAGCGACCCTGACGCGGGTCGCTTATTTCCCACATATTATAGAGGACCGGAGTTCTGACTAGTTGAATACATGATTCAGCAAACAGTAGATCTTTAACATCAGAGAACGCAATTTTCACCTTTAATCTCATATCATTGAATTATTAACTTTATATTTTAACAACAATTATGAAACACATTTTCCATTTTTTTTACAATTAAATTACATAAGAGAACGCAATTTTCCCCTTTAATGTGATATCATTGAATAATAAACTTTATCTTTTTAACAAAAATTATGAAACACATTTTACACTTTTTTTACGAAATAAGTACGTATTAATTTAATTGACTTTGTGTACATCAATGAGAGTGATACATTACTGTTTTAATTCCAACATGTTAATGATGTAATTAAATTACATCAGAGAACGCTAATTTCATCTTTGGTGTAATATTATTGAATACATAAACTCTATTTATTTCACAACAATTACCAAACAGATATCCTTCTATTTATACTAATCACTATTTTTGGCGCGGATGGAAGGGCACAGGAGATTTATAGAAATTATTTATGTTTCCACAACTATTTTTTTTTATTCAATTTGAATCTGCTGGTTATATAAGTGTGATTGTAAAATGATCAAATTCAAATGTATTGGTTTTTTTTTATTGCTACAATAGATAATTCAGGCTGAAACTAAAATCAGGTACTTTATAAAATGGTAATGTCGTTGCGTGGCTTCTGACGTCGTCAGTCGCTTGTGCGTTATAAACTTTCTTTTGAAAACTTGATGTCACGACTCCCTATTATAACACATTGAAAAAAAAACATTTTTTTTTTTAAAAAGACGACGACGGGAAACAGGAAGTGAAAGTGGAAGAAGGAAGATAACTCATTTAGAAGTCCCCCACTGGTTCCAGGGGGGACTATAGGTTTGCACATCCGTCCGAGAAGATTGTCCCGGAAATATCTTCTTTACTATTCCACCTGGAGTAACCAGATTTGGTGTAAATGAAGATCTTTTGCTGGCGGAATGCAGAGCGCAAGAAGAAGGTCACTATGACCTCACTGTGACCTATGCTTTGACATTTGACCTTAACTTTTGAAAAAAACATGTCCGGGGCATATCTCCTGTGCTATTTCACCTGGAGTAACCAGATTTGGTGTACAAGCAAATCTTGGGATGGCGAAGTAAAGAGTGCAAGAATTAGGTCACTCTTACCTCACTGTGACCTGAACTTTGACCTTTACTTTTGAAAATGTTTGTCCGGAGCATACCTTCTACACTATTTTACCTGGAGTAACCAGATTCGGTATATAAGGTCATCTAGGCATGACGGAGCGCAGAGTGCCAAAATTAGGTCACTATGATCTATGACTTGACTTTTGACTTTCACTTTTGAAAAAGTATGACAAAGAAATATCTTTTTTACATGTAGTAATGGGATTTGGTGTACATGGACATCTTGGGAGGGCGGAGTGCAAAGTGCAAGAAGAAGGTCACTATGATCTCATGGTGACCTATGCTTTTACTTTAACTTTTGAAAAAAGTGTATCTGGGGCATTTCTTCTATACTATTTCACCTGGTGTTACCAGAGTTACTTTATAAAACCATAATGCAAATAAACTTCTTCTGTTGGTAACAAAACAAGTTTTACCGTTACAAAGATGCCTTTAATGTCGTTAAGTTGTGTTATGCATCAGGATACTTTCTTAACAATAGAAACATCCTGACATAAGTGTACTGTTTGTTAAATATAGAAATCGTTACCGGTGGGGGACTATGGATTGCCTTGCATGATTTTAAAGAAATTCTGATAATGCGTGCACATTGAGGTAGTTATATTTGAATTATTTTATTCCTGGACGTTAATTTAGGTCTATGCTTAAACCGAGCAATATAGAATATACATCCTGCGTTAGAAAGGCCAGCTAACAATGACATAGATAAAACGAAAGCAACCACGTACAACCTGACCTTATAAGTGATCTCTGATCAGTTCCTAATAGAACTATGTCTCTGTCAAATAATCACGAAGCATCATAACATATATATATTACATATCAACGATTTGTCATTTCAATTTTAGTGTTATAAGCCTTACTTTCGTTTCACATATGTCTATCATTAGGACCAGCTTGTTGTTATAATCATTGTTGTTCGCCCAAATTACGACGCTTCATGAAAGTTTGTCGTTTGCAATGACTTGCTGTCATGTTATTTGTGTCTAATGGTCCGTATACAAATGGTGACTTACTGTTCTATCCTCGCATTAGCCACAAAGTTTGACAGAAACGTCGGTACGGTCCTCTCCTTCGTCGCCACGCCTCGTCGCAAACGGAGATACGTTTCTAAATTACGGCACGTAGTGTCGGAGTTTCATCCGGTCCGGATTTTATAAGTCGTTTTGTACTTTAAAATTCATTCAGAAAACCTTATCAATAACAATAACCTGAACATTTAATTGCTTCGGTTAAATATTATTTCGATTTAGAAAAGCATCAATGGTGGTTTTCAAAACTATCAAATCAGCACATATTGAATACATAGATATTCTTGGACAAACCAAGAAACGGTACCTGAATTAGTTTTTTTTACTGTTTTTTGAAAAATATTTAAAAATATCATTTTCACTAGATATTGTATAGGTCGACATATATCGGTGTTTCCTGTGTCACTGTATATAAAGCAGGATTTATGTATAATTAATCGTATCTAATCAAGTTTTTAACACCCTGTCACCATTTTGTCACAGTAGGGGTGGACTGTGAACTCGACATCAGTATACGGGATGGTGGATGTCTGTGTACCCGGTATCACTGTATTGGAGGATAGATGTCTGTGTGCCTGGTATCACTGTATGGGAGGGTTTATGTCTGTGTACACAGTATCACTGTATGAGAGGGAAGATGTCTGTGTAACCAGTATCACTGTATGGGAGGGTAGATGTCTGTGTACCTGGTATTACT